AGAGTTGAGGTCTGGTTCTTCCCTGCTGCACTCCACTCATCCCATTTACATTAGAGTGACTCCAGTGGAAATGGCTTTTTTTTCCCCCCTCAAAGTAGGACAGAGTGGGGTGGCATTCTTCCTTGCTGAATGGCAGCAAACAATTTGGCTTTGCACAGGTCAGTAGCCTAGGCTCCTCATTTATGGTGGCATGTCAGATAAGAGACCCAACTGGATGTTTATTGAATTGTTTCCCTATGAATACAGAAATCTGTCTTTTTTTTTTTTTTTTCTCTCTCTCTCCTTCATGGATTCTGCCCTTAAATAGATGTATAAAATGCATCACCCACACACACACTTTACTGTTCCCACCACTACCACCCCCTCTACCACTCAACTAATTTCACCACCCTCTCCTTATGGGGACCTGCCTTTCATTACCCACTTCGACTTGCACCCACTTCTACACACAGCCTTTAATCAAAGCGCTCTCTCCCACTGAGTCCATGAAACATCCACAATGATCAGTGTTGGGAATGGAAAAGCAATCGGGCAACAAGGTGCGCAAGGAATGGCAAAAATGTGGCGGAGTGGAAATTGCAATGTGTGGTCTGTGGTACACTATTCTTATACTAATAAGGTGCGTTCTTGATGGAGGCTCAGGGTGCATGTACGGTTAGATAGCTTAGTTCTTCATTTCCTTACTTTTGTGGGATGTGCTCAGCAACCCTAATTGCATCACAACAATGTTTTCTAGGTATTAATATACCAAAGGGCAGGATTTTCAAAAGTGTTTATTGTTGGCCTAGAAACCTTCGTTTTCAATATCAGCAAAACTAGACAAGCGCTGAATGGTTTTGAAAATCTCAGCCCTGATAAATGGTTATCCTCTATCATGGTTGTGTAAGAGTGATGGTGTAGCTGTGATAGTCCAGAAATTATGCAAGAGGCAAGGGTAGCTTAGGGTGATATTTTTTTTTATCAGACCAGTCTTTGCCTTATCCTCTATTATTACGCTGATGAAATTTTCCTTTCTCCACCCCAAGATTCAAATTCCCATAAAACAGAACAGCAGGGATCACATCCACCCTGCATAATGCCTTGCCATGTGGAACCAAAGTATAGATCGCTTGTCTGAATGATGTACTGGCTAAGTAACATATGTTTTCCATAAAGGACTTACGAGCTTGAGTTAGAAATGTGGCCACTTCTGCACATTACTATTCATATACATCAGGCATTGTCTGATGCAACTGCTGGATGGTAAAGCTTAAATTGTGGTTTAAAGAGAGCTGGATCAAGAGCTGTGTATAATACGTGAAATATGTGTCCCTTCTACAAGAGCTTGTTGGAATAGCTGGGGATGGGTCTAAATGGAAATGAACTAAAGGAACCAAATCTTGCAATCTCATGATCTATTTGAGTGATCCAGAGAGCTCTCCTCACCACCTTGAAAAGTATGTCCTCCAGAAACTGAAAGCCTGGACAGATGATGCATTTAAACTGGGATCACATCAGTTTTGTCTATCTGTGGACAGATTTGGAGTGGACAGACAAGCAGCTATTTGGGGATGGTTACATGCAAGAGGCACTATTATAGTACCTTGCCACTAACGCACTGTTTGCCTTGAGCGAGTGGCTATATTTGGAGTAAGCTGAGGATGAAGGACATCTGCAATGATGAAATTTATACTAGTGAAGTTTTACTTATGATTTTTAGTGGTAATTTTTGCACTACTGTAAGTTATGTCTGCCCCCACTCTTTTTTAAAATTTTTTTTTGCACTGCTGCAGATATGCTATCTGGAAGATCTGGGGAAAGGAGGAAAACTGATGGGAAAGGCATGATGGGGGGGGGGTGTTACCAGTTTAACATTTCTCTATCATTTTCTGCTAACTTCTGCATCTCTCAGTCTAGGGGGTGGTAAGCAAAGACCCCCAAAGCTGAGGCAATGGACCTTGCAATCCTTCTAATAAAACACAGGGAATTTTGAAAATCTCATTAAGGGATCTCTGATATGAGTAATGCCCTGCCACTAATTCCGCTAACAGAGCAAAGTTTCTCCCGGCCCCAGTTTAAAACCAAGGCTGACCAAGGTTAGGATCCCCAGCCAAGGGAATTGGATCTATGCCCCAGGACTACAGCGGCTGGCAGGCTTTTCCACCTGTGCTCTGCATTTGCCCCTCACCACAAAACACCCTTTCCTCTCTGCAGGGGAAAAAACTTGCATAGAGAGGAGCACAACCCAAAGTGTTTAAATTTAAATTCTGACATCACTCGCATTTTCTGTGCAAGATAACCTTTGACTGCTGGCATCCAGGAGGCTCTCTCCACAGGAG